ACATTTGCTTTACATATGGGGAATGCATGCCATAAGATACTATTGCCTCCTTAAATCTTTGTAAATCTAACATTTCAATTGGAGCCCAAATATTTTGTGAAGGAATTTGATTAGGCAACTGCTGTACGGTTACCGGATAAATAAAGGTTGACTGTGTGAAAACAGGCTTTCTCTCTGTAACCTTATGATCCAATCTTGAAACAACTTTACTGTTAATTTCTTCTGTCTGAATTGAATTTCTCTATGATTCATTTTTACAGGTTTAACAAGTTTTTCTAAAACTGTTATCCTGGCACTTAAATTGACTAACCTTTTAAATAGTAAAATGAGGATAAGCATAGTAGTAAACTGCATAATTTGATGAACATTAATCTTTTCCTATAGTTGTTCCTTTGTCAGACTGCCTAAAATTTCAAACAAAGCCCAATTTTCTTCCAATGTACACATAAAACCCATTTTTTTAATGTATAAAAAATTTCTCTTCTAAATAGTTTCCTTTAAAATATCTGATATGTTAAGTGACCTACCAAGTCTGTGTAGAACAGTAGAAATCTGCGGGAATTTCAAAACAGCCACCTAGTTTCCAAGGTGTGAATCGAGAGAGAGAGAGAGAGAGAGAGAGAGAGAGAGAGAGAGAGAGAAGCCACAAATTCTGGCTAAGAGCTTAAATCCAGCTACGTGTTCCCACTTGAGTGGAGTCAAGCCTTGACTCTGTCTTCCTTAAGCTCCAACCATGTGCGTTGGCTTTACAGGCATGGGCCCTGTTCAGCAGGGCAGACCTGAGTTGTTTGTAGCACCGGCTTTAACCAAGTAGCTCCAGCTGCGTGTAACCACTTGGGGCTACAGTCAGTCCAGCCTGAGACCAATCTGACCTGGGCCCGGGCTAGGTACCCAGCCGCCCAGGTGGGAAACCAGACCTGCAACCAAGCCAAGTCAAGTGGTTTTAATGGATTCTTGTCTTGTTGGGTGCCAAATGTAGATGTAACCAATCATCTTATTAAATAAGAAACACAGAACCAATTCAAAGAAAAAAGCCAAGAGCTCAGAGCTAAGAGCCTTACCCCACTGCTGCAGCTAGCCTCGTAAGCCAAGAGACCTTTAAGAAAAAGGGGCTACTTCCTGTCTGTTTGTCTTTATATAGACTTTCTGTTCTGCCTTCTCATTGGTTGTAAAACCAACCACATGAGTGCCTCATAACTGTCTGTTGTACAGCCCTCCAGGTCTTCTATGGTATTGAGATTAAAGGTGTGTGTCTCCAATGCTGGCTGTATCCTTGACCACACAGAGATCTACCTAGCTCTGCCTACCAAGTGCTGGGATTAAAGGCGTGCACCACCAACGCCCAGTTTTTACTATGGCTCTAATAGCTCTGACCCCCAGGCAACTTTATTCATTAACATACAATTAAAGCACATTTCAGTACAAATAAAACACCACCATAGAATATGGCACAGCAGGAGAAATGCCTCAGAATATATACAGAGAGACATACAACCAGAGTAACACTATTTAGTATACATCAACAGAATTTTATCAAAATTATTAACTTCAAGTAAGGATAGACAATAAGGGTAGGTGGTGCACAACTTTAATTTCAACCCTCAGGAGGCAGAGACAGGTGAAATTTGTGATTTCTGATCCTGCCTGGTTTATGGAGAGACTGCCAGGATAGCCAAAGTTACATAGTGAGACCCTGTCTCTAAAAAAAAAAAAAAAAAACCCAAGAAGCACTCAGGACTCACTCAAAATTTCTCCCTAGAGTTAAACATTCACACCAGTTCTATATTTGTCCATTGAACTGTGAAGCTAATAATTCCCTGGAAGCAAAGCATTTTTATTAATTTGCTGTCTAACAGATCAATGAGTTCTCAAGAACATTAGTAAAGTAAATGCTGATCCTAAAACAGTAAAACAAACACCAAAATAGAGGGAGTATAGACAGATGGGTCCACAGATAAGAGCACACATTTGAAAATAATGTAAAGGTGTAAAAACATACAGAAAGGTAGGGACAATATTACACATCGACAATTCAGTGATTCAGCAGATCACTATTAATTTCATGAATGAATGCATTCTGGCCCTGAAAAATGACACCGATGCCAAAGTTCAAAAGTCATGACAGGGGTAAAGTTCAGCACAAGAGCAAATGCCTGACAAGTACAAAAACCTGATTCAATCTGCCAAAAATATGAACATAAAAATATCAGGCAACAAATATGGATTGGCAAGGAAAAGCAATTGCTTCTACTTTACCTTACATTATTTAGGAATGGAGTCTCTACTGTTGGTGATGGCATGCCTACATGAGAAGGAAGGGGGCTGCTCACTTTCAACAAAACAAAGAAATATGGTGAGACTATATTCCTCTATTAAGGCTCCTTCTCCTAAGGAGAAGTCACCAGTTGTGACTGAACGTCACAATTGCAAATGTAAGTCACCAATAAAGGCTCAGACCAAAGACAAATGCTCAAACTCAGCACACTACCTGGAAGATTTTTCATTCAACCCTCAACGTTTTGAAACAGGTCATGACAGGCTCAAGTCAAACCACGATGCAAAATGCATTTAGTCTGATTTCAAAGACCCCATATTATGTGATAGTCCCAATAATGTTTGAATGTACACAGGTGAAAAGGGCTGTTTAAATGCTATTATGTACAGCAGAACCTCTTAAAGGAGCTGTATACAGTTTTTTGCTTGTTTGTTTGTTTTATTTTACTTTTTATTCAGCTTTCTCAGGATGTATGTGGAAATTCCATGCCCCACAATGAAACAACAAATGTACAAGGCATTTTTAGGGGGACACCAGCAAGCTCCCAAACCTTGGCATAGAGACTTATTATTAGTTATGGATGCTTGGCCTAGCTTAGGTTCATCTCTGGCTAGCTCTTTCAACTTAAATTAGCCTGTTTATCTGCCTTATGCTCTGGGGCTTTATACCTTTCATTCTTTCTGTAAATCTTTCCTGCTCTCTCCATGTCTGGTTGGGGGCTGCCAGGCTCCTGGCCCTGGGTGTGTTCCTCTCTTTCTCCCTCATTCTCTCCTTCCTTCCTCCCTCTCTTTCTTCTGGAGCATAGATTTCTGATCCTGTTTATTCTCTCTGCCCACCATCCCTGTGCATACCTCTTCAGCCTAGGTGCTGGCCATTCAGCTTTTCATTAGACCACTCAGGTACCTTAGGCAGGCAAAGTGAAACAGCAACACATCTCTTCATAATTAAACAAACGCCGGATAAACAAATGTAACACATCCTTACATCATTAAACAAATGCAGCAGATACAAATATCACACCTTCACATAAGATAATATTCCACTTCATAAACAAAGGTAACAAATCTTTGTCCAGTTAAGATAATATTCCACAGCATATTACTCTTTCATTTATCCTTACTTGATTTCCCAGGGCATGTGGAGAATACAGAGATAATATAACAAAATACTACATAACCTGTCTTACTGACTCTTCCCTTGCTGTGAAGCACTATGACCAAGGCAACTCTTTTTGTTCTTTTTGTTTTTCCAGACAGGCTTTCTCTATGGAACAGACCTGGCTGTCCTAGGAACTCACTCTGTAGACCAGGCAGGCCTCACACTCACAGATCTGCCTGCCTCTGCATCTCAAGTGCTGGGATTAACAGCAAGCAACACTACCACTGATTTAAACATTTTAACAAATTAAACCCAAAAGACTTCAGTCCAGCAAACATGGAGAGTCACAAATCTGTCTGATCACAGCCCAGACCAGACTCAATTGGGAGAAAATGGGGCCAAGCAACATCTTGTGTCTGGGGACTGAGGAGAAGGTGAACGACCTGGATGACAACAACTGGCTTCAACGGTTACAGTCAGTTGGGGAAACTCGTCCATGGACTCAACTGTCTCTGGTTGGGGTCGTGGAATTCCTTCCTCTGTTCCCTAGCTGCATGGGGCCTACCTGCCTAGGACAAGGGACCATCTCCTCCTACATACATGCAAACCTAAATAAAGAGTCTCTTAAAGGAAAGGGTGTAACAATGCCCATTTAACCACGGAGAGATGTGGACCCCACTGAGAACTGTGCCTAATGGAGGATGGACTTCCTTAGCAGGGAGCAGGACTAACCTTGAGTAGAAAGCAACCATCTGTCTATTATGTCAATATTATATTATGTCAATATTATATTATGAGAGTGCAGAATTGGAGTTACAGATACAGCAAAGACAAATTAAAGTCTAACAATTTATGGTACAAAGTAAATTGCATGAGAAACAAAAATAACATGAGAAAATGTCTTCATGAATGTAAAATTGATCATCACAGGACTGAATCAATAGTCCATAAACACTGTGACACCATCTGACTTCTAACTTTGAATGAAATTGCAATAAAGACTGCAATGAACTGGGCGGTGGTGGCGGCACACACCTTTAAAGGAAGCACTTGGTTGTTTGAGGCCAGCCTGGTCTTCAGAGTGAGTTCCAGGACAGCCAGGGCTACACAGAGAAAACCTATCAAAGGGAAAAAAAGAAAAAAAAAGACTGTACTGTCTGGGAAAGAATAAAGAGATCAACAGAACATGAAAGCAATCTTAGAAATAAAAACACAATAAATATAGAGTCGATTTTGCCACATGAGGCCAGGAATCATACTAAGTCTGGCCTTAATGACACAGGTAAATGAACCACTATGGCATCTAAATGCAAATGTGTTAATGACACACTTTACCCCCTGCACAGAATTAACTGCAGGAGGATCCTACACCTGAAGGTTCGGTGAAAAGTGCAGAACTTTTAGAAGACACTAGGGTAACCAGGGCTCTGCAAGTTAGCAAATCTGCCTTCCCTGCCTACAGTTTTTACTGAATGAAATGAAAAAATGATCACCATGCTCACCATGCCTTGCATGGTGACTAGGATATTTCCGCACAAAGGCTCACACTCCCCCATGCTCTGTGAAGGCGCAAACACCAGCGATAAATCACTCAGAGGTCCTGCTTCTGCCTGGGTGTTGCAGGGACCTCAGGGGACCAAAGGGAATCACTCCAGACACCGAATCCTGACGCCATTTCCACAGCCCCAGGGGGGACCCCACACTGGCTCCCGTGGCTTCTCCCCACGTGGGACGGTGGCCCCTCACTCACCATGGCCGATTCCCTGCTCACCCGATCGCCTCATGTCTCCCAGCAGCCAGTTACAGCCCAGCACACAGAACAGGAGATCCACCTTTAACCACTGAGCCACAGATCTTCCTGCAGGGCAGACCGGAAGTGCCCACCCCATTCTGATTGGCAGTCCATCTGGAGGTCCTGACTGGCTACTGAGGCCTGAGTGATCTAAACAGCTCTCTTAGGGACAGTGCTGTGAAGTGAGGGAGCCCAATGATTGGCAGCCCTGGCTTTCACCCCAGGCACAGAACTGTAACAGCCCTGTAGAGATTCACATTGATGCACAACTTGGGGCTGGACTGCAAAGTCTTTTCCTGAATTATTCCTGCGCTCAGGAGGACTCTTTTCTGGAGAATTAGGTTTTGCTACGAACTGAGAAAGGACGAAGGAATCCCGCCACTTTCTGGGCTAGCAATACCTCAGGCGTGCTGTAGAAAACGCGCTATGATTTTCATTTTTGTAAAAAAAAAAAAAAAAAATTATGATTAAAAAAAAAACACCTATACACTAATATGCATTCTCTTAAACTGTTATTCTGTAGAAAAGGCCCATCAATATAAATACAGGATTTAGAGAAGTAAACCCTACAGAATCAGAGTGATCTTTTTACTTATATCCATATTTACTAGAGAGCCTCAGTACTCTAATGACTAAATTATATATAATTTATTTAATTAATAATAAAAAGAGAAATTTATATATTTTTAATTATTTAAATAATAAATATATATGTTATTGCCCATTTGACATAGGAGTTTACTGCGGTGATATTGTATCCTCCAACATATTCTGCACCCTAATAAACTTACCTGGGGTCAGAAAACAGAACAGCCACTAGATAGACATAGAGGCCAGAAAATGAGAGCACACACCCCTTTAATCCTAGCATTCCAGAGGCAGAGGTCCATCCAGATCACTGTGAGTTCAAAGCCACACTGGAAAGAGCCAGGCATGGTGACACATGCCTTTAATCCCAGGAAGTGATGGCAGGAAACAGAAAAGTACATAAGGCATGAAGACCTGTTGTGGGATGTTCTGTATGGCAAATATGTTGCTAATTAGTCAATAAATAAAACACTGATTGGCCATTGGCTAGGCAGGAAGTGTAGGCGGGACAAGGAGGAGAATAAAGCTGGGAAGTGGAAGGCTAAGTCAGAGAGACACTGCCAGCCGCCAGGATGACAAACAGCATGTGAAGATGCCGGTAAGCCACGAGCCATGTGGCAAGGTATAGATTAATGGAAATGGATTAATTTAAGCTGTAAGAACAGTTAGTAAGAAGCCTGCCACAGCCATACAGTTTGTAACCAATATAAGTCTCTGTGTTTACTTGGTTGGGTCTGAGTGGCTGTGGGACTGGCAGGTGAGAGAGATTTGTCCTGTGGGCCAGGCAGGAAAACTCTAGCTACAAATGATGTCCAACGTGGTGGCAAAAGTTTCCACCTAAAACCCGAGAAAAGATTCTAAAACGGAGCTAAAAACAGCTTCCTAATTGTCTCTCTCAAATGAGCGGCAGCTGCCGGTTTGAGGTACTTGTGGGTTCCTAGTGTGCGTGCTCCACCTGCCTTATGGCGGGAATGAGGCCTCTGCAAGTGGCACATTAAGCTGCATGGTGGATTTAGCCTTTGCTAGTACAAAACAAAAAAAGAGGTTTCTGGGCTACACGCTGCTTGGATAAAAGCATAGACCCGCATAGACCCACAATAGCTCCCAGAGCTGGTGGTAAACCACCGCCATGTTGGGAAGCTGAGGTGGGCTGAGCCAGCAGCTACAGATGCTGCAGTTTAAAGCAATAGATTCACAATAAGACAGATTCAGATGTAATAGTTTACAATGTGTGTAAAATATACGTAGGCTTGAAAGAGACAAAAACGGTGATATATACAGTTATAAAAACAAATAAATAGTTTTTTAAAATAAAGTCTTTAAAGAGACAGTAAAATTAATATAAAAAATAAGCCACGTAAAGATGAATATTACACAGAGAATCTGGATTGTGTTGTCTTTGGGATTTTTAACTGCAGAAAAACATTTGATTGTAAAAGCTGTTGAGTTATGCCAAAATGTATATTTTAAAGGTACCTTGACTTCAAAATTTGGATATAAGGATATGTTGCTTTGGAAAGGAGACTCTGCTTTTGTTTCCACAGAAAGCCAAAGGCTATGGATTTGTTCCAGATTTAGAAACATCAGGTTTGACCAGCCAAGACCCCCTGAAAGGTCTCCGATGACACCAAGGCCCAGATGATCCAACATCCAGAATGGTTTGAAGGCAACTGGCTCAGAAGATACAGCCTCACGGACTACTCCATGATCCTTAAATTTTCTTTGTGTCCTCATAAGATACAGCGCCCCCCTCCAGCAGGAAGTAGTAAGAGAAGCTATGCCCAAATTCCCAAATTATATGTAATTTTACTTTCTTAAGGTTAAAACCTTCCTTTTGGAAAAAAAAGTGGGGGAAGTGCTGTGGGATGTTCTGTATGGCAAATGTGTTGCTAATTAGTCAATAAATAAAACACTGATTGGCCATTGGCTAGGCAGGAAGTGTAGGCGGGACAAGGAGGAGAATAACGCTGGGAAGTGGAAGGCTGAGTCAGAGAGACACTGCCAGCCACCACGATGACAAACAGCATGTGAAGATGCCGGTAAGCCACGAGCCATGTGGCAAGGTATAGATTAATGGAAATGGATTAATTTAAGCTGTAAGAACAGGTAGTAAGAAGCCTGCCACGGCCATACAGTTTGTAACCAATATAAGTCTCTGTGTTTACTTGGTTGGGTCTGAGTGGCTGTGGGACTGGCAGGTGAGAGAGATTTGTCCTGTGGGCCAGGCAGGAAAACTCTAGCTACAAAGACCAGGAACTAGAATGGTTTTTAAGCTTTTAGCTGTCAGCAGCAGTTCAGGTGAGATCCATTTGCATGAGTACTCAGAAGCTTTCAGTATGAGGAAACAAGATCAGCTGAGGAATTGGCAAGGTGAGGTTGGATGGGGCTTGTTCTGTTTCTCTGATCATTCAGCGTTCACCCCAATACTTAGCTCTGGCTTCATTTATATTAATAACACCTTTTAAGATTCGTGTTACAGTCTACAGATTTGTTTTCTCTGACTTCTGCATCATTAGTAAAAATAAGTAAAGCAAATGAAGAATACTTATTTTTACATCATGTTTCTATTGTTTCATTTTCTTTATCAGGGTCTCATTCTGCAGCCCTGACTGGACAGGACCTTGATGTGCTGACCAGACTAGCCTAAAAATCATAAAGAAAAGTTTGCCTCTGCTGTAGAGTGCTAAGATTAAAGGTTTGCTACTCCCTTCATGATTTGTAGTAATTCTGCACAGTTACTAATGAAATAAATAGCAGCTGTTAAGATTCAGCCTCAGATCCTTTCATTCTGCTTCCCTCACCAACTCCACACCTTCACTTTGGACCTGAACCTAGACAGAGCTGGACTCTGGCAATAAAGTCCCTGTCAAAGAGTTTTTATAATGGGGAGAGAGAGAATTTTCTGCTGGACAAATATGGTGATATTGTGTTCTCCAAAACATTGTGCACCCTAATAAACTTATCTGGGATCAGAGACAGAAGAGCCACAATATTAAACATAGAGGATAGGCAGTGATAGCACATGCCTTTAATACTAGCATTCCAGAGGCAGAAATCCATCTGTTCAAGGATACAGCCAAGCATGGTGACTCAGGCATTTAAAACCAAAAATCGAGCCTTTAATCCCAGGGAGTGATGGTAGAAAGGAAAGATATATAAGGTGTGAAGACCAGAAACTAGAAGCATTTGCCTGGTTAAGCTTTCAGGCTTTCAAGCACCACAGTTCAGCTGAGAGCCATCTGGATATGAGGACACAGAGGCTTCCAGTCTGAGGAAACAAGATTAGTTGAGAAGTTGGCCAGGTGAGGTTAACTATGGCATGTTCTGTCTCTCTGATCTTCCAGTATTCACCCCAATACCTGCCTCAGGTCTGATTTTATTAATAACAACTTTGAAGATTCATGCTACATCTGGTGCCCAACGTTCGTGATATGAATTCATGAAAAAGCTGCTTGCCTGTGGCCTTGTGGGCCCCAGCTCAGGCCCAATCTACACTAGACTGGTTGTGGTGGCACACGCCAGTAGGATTTACTGAAGGAGGGACAGGCAAGAGGTCCTGAGTTTTAGGCCAGCCTAGTAGGCTTGGGAGAAGCTTCAGCCTGGGCCAACCACAAACAGTGGTGGGACCATGGAGGCAGTGGCTGCTTTTCTGAATTGCCACTCCTTCTCATCCTTTTGGTGACTGTGGTGATGCTGCTATCTGGGACAAAGGGTTTACTGCTGCTTGTTCAGAGAATAATTGCCTGGACCATCGTGTTACAAGAAAGCATCAACAAAGGTCAATTTGGAAAAGGTTGGCAAGACTAATGGTGGGGAGAAATTGCTGTGAAGATTTTCTCTTCTAGGGAAGAACATTCATGGTTCCGAGAGACATACATTTATCAGACTGTGATTGCTCCAAATCACAGAGGAGACACAAACACACAAAAAAAGTCTGCAGGGAACCATGACCACGCCTAACAGCAACTTTGAAATCTTCAAAAGGAAGACAGGACTCCACAAAGATGATTCCACATGGACTATGGTAAAGCCATTAAGCTGATTAACACCACGGAAAGATCTGCTTTGGACTACAAACTGCTCAGAGAAATTTCGAGATGGCTAGCTGAGATGATTGAGCCTGACAGACTACTTGAACAAGGACTTGAAACAATATTTTGCAGCGACTGGACAAATGATACAGGACTTGACAATTAACCCAGAAATTTTCTTTTCAGAATTCCTTAAAGATGTCTTCACCCCAAGAAAGTGGGAAGTAATTTTAAGAAAAAGACACCCACATTCCCAAGAAGTGGTGTGGGTAGTTTTTGGTCATTTAATGAGTTATGGATATTGTCATTGTTTACAATGGTTGGTTGCAAGTTGTTGATTGT